TCATTACAATAAACACTTGCCTTGTGAGTTACTATTTTCTTCGAAGACATTTGAACCTCCTGTTATGAAAACAATTTTTCTTGAATATACTGAGAAATTTTCTTTATTGATCTTAGTGAGGATATAGTAATGACAGATAAGCAAGACTTACATTGTCAGCAAAGTGGTTAAATTGCATGGACCAGCCTCTTGGACTGCTAGGAGCTGAATCAAGCCATAATGTTCTAAATGAAAATGAAGAACATGAAGTATATGCAGGTTTTCCAAGATCCCCAAATAGAACACTTTTAATTAAACTTCTGTACCTGACAAACTGCAGTACTAAAATCACAGTAGTGACTGTACTTAACTACTTTCTCAAGCGGTCTCATGTAAAGTAATGTGCAAGTCCATGTTTGTAGAATGAGACATTAAACAAATGGATTTTCACTCTGAATGGTTCAGCCTCCCAATCATACCTGTGCTATGTACACAGGCTTCTCATTTCAGGCCCTTACTGCTGAAGAACCTCATCTACAGTTGTGGAGAGAGCAAACCTACAGGTATTATTCCACTGCACATGAAATATTAATTTTTAAAATCTTAAGGAGCTAAGGCACAATTAAAATTACCAGACAGTTTAAAACACAAAGTAGGGTTACATCGATAATCTACTTTATAATCTGGTTTTAGCCAGTTATTTCATGGAAGAAACTTCTGTAAATCCATGTATTCATAAATAGCTCGGTGGATAGTTTCATTAAAATTACAAACATAAGTGTCTACAATATTAGAAAGCATTTAAAAATTATTTCCAGATACTGAAAAAAAAAAAAAAAGTGCTCAAAACTCATTGGAAGTCTGAGAGACTTCTACTGGTGACCTGGGGAGCTGTGGGAAGTTCCTATCTGCAGACACACAATTAGCAGATTATGAATCCGGGAGATATCTTATCTGCTCCTCCATACAATGCTAAGTTGCTGGTTTTCCCATCTCCCTCCATTATCACTAGTTTCAGACAACTCCTTATCAAGAAGATAATGGCAAAGTAATGGAGTATTGGGGGGAGGGGGGAATGAGCAGCACAGCAGAGGGAGAAATATTTAAAATTATATTTAAATCATCATATCACATGGAAGATAAAAAATATTGGAGGTGTTGAAAACATAACCATTATAGATGAAAATGGTTTCTTTTGGGAAGTTAAAGAAAACATAATCAAGACTTAGAAGAGACAGATTCATGTTTGAATGGACTATTTGTTATGTGTCTTCTCCTGGGATCTTCTAAAGGAGTACGCGAAGGTCTGTTGTCACATGTGGTTGCCAACATGGAATTATGGGTGCCAGTTTGTATGGGATCTCAGTAGCATCTGTCTCAGGTTCCATTAGAAGCTATTACACACCATTTGAATCTCGTATTTTTTCATAATAACAAAAATTTTGCTTTTAATTACACCTAGATGTAGCTGTGGATGGCATCTGATCCTGGAACTGAAAAGCTCAGTTTTATTTGTCCTTCTTTGCATGGATAAGTCAGGTTTATACTCATGGCAGTGCTTTTGTTCATGGCTGAAAGAATCTGAAAAGATTCTAAGGCAGACAAAAGGATGTCTACTGACTAAGGAGGTCCCATTTTATACTCCTTTTCTAGTATGATACTTAAGTAAGACATATTTTAGAAACTGAATTTATGCTTAAGTTGCTTCTAGAAGGTTAAACACAAGTGCTGGAATTTTTTTCTCCTCAGGGCAAGGTAAGCAGCATGCTACAGTAGACCCGACACAATGAAAATGCCACATCGATAGGACACAACAATGTGCCCAGTAATGAACTCAAATCCTTGAGTCTCTAAAACCACGCTGTGTTCTTGAGCAGCGAATTTCGTATTTGGATCACTTAATTGAAAGAATTGTAAAGACAGATCCCTACTGCCAAAATATCTGAGGTGGTTACAGAATGCTGTTTATTCCAGCGAGTGTCTGGAATAAATTATCTTCAAGAAATTGGCTCCTGATACTCCTGTTTCAGATGAGAATTTGTACAGAGTGCTAAGTCCTAACACTTCTGGCCAAACCATGGGCTTCATTAGGATTTGCCATTCATCATACCTGCCAGGAGCTCTCAGAGCTGGAGACGTGCTTATTTTGAGGAGTGAAAGAATAACAGAAAAGAAACTGTTTACCTTGGAGCTACTGTCAGTTCTCAAAGGCATTGGTCTTTCGAATTTCAGGGCTCTGAGCTGTCAGTCCTAATATGCTTTCTTACTATTCCTACTGAAATTCATTAGTTACGTAAGGAAGACCCACACTGGTTTTGGATGACACTATAGGTCGAATAAGCCACCTAACATTTCGAAGGTTTCTATTCCAGATAAGGGGATAATGGCAGCAGGTGACCTGACAGCTTTTGGGGTGAGAGGGAGTTTTCACAACTGGATTTTACTCCAGTTGCAACAGCAGATGTTTGACAACTCATGAGACTGGACTCTAGGAAGCAGGATGGCAATCTGACTGCTATTTTAAACATTTTGATATATAAGCCAAGTTTATCAATCACCTATTGTGAACGGTAGTTATGTTGATTTTTTTACTCAGTGCCCAACTATTATATGGGCTTCGCTTGATTCTTCTCACAGCATAACAGCTCAAAATCCTGCAGAAGGGGAAAGCCAACAGAAACACTGCAAAGCCATATTTAAGGCACTCCACATCACTTATCACCGTAGTGTCCAGGATTTCCTACAGGAAGGAGGTCTGCCTATTTTACTTCAGTAAGTAGACTCAGGGCTCTCATGAGAGCACAGTCCTCCTTGGGGCTGCATTGCCAGCATTCTTACATGCATGTGCAGCATTCACCCTCACACTGGAACTGACGTTCCCATTTTATTCTGAGGTACCCAACTCAAAAATAAGGGTATCCCTGAGGACTTAGGTGTGCTCCAGAAGTGACCTTAAATAATTTAGGTCTGTGTATAACTTCTGAATACTCTACTACTTGTTCAAAATTAGTAAATACCTAGGAAATATGAATATTTGTAATTTTTTATCAACAAGGTTTCTAGGTGAAAAAGGACAGCATTTGGACATATGCTTAGCCTTACATCAGACTTTGAAGAAAAGCATCATCACAGGAGTGGATAGTCAACAACCCGTTCAGTCAATGACTAAATTTCTGAAGAAACTGCTCTGTACAATGTAGAATTTAGGCTGCACAGGTCTATCCCATGAGTCCAGAACAAAGTATATTGCAGAGATGGTGTATTCCATTTTGCTTCCAGAGATTTTTATGGATCCACATATGCTCTTCTCCATTTCATATCCCACTAGAAGGGAGCAAGTGGACCTCTGACTTCACCTTTCTCGAGGCTCTCTTATAACCTGTGAAACACAATTTTTACAACCCAGAGATGACATTCTCCCCTCAGGTATGTTAGGGCAATTTAATCTGCTTCCTTACAGAATAAAATTCCAGTATTTCCAATTGTTACAGATCAAGGTGAATTTAGTGCCAATTACAGTAAACTCTGTTTAATATATTAAAATGACATTGAAGCAGAAATAGTATAATGAACATTTAAAAAATATATACATATAAATCATTCCATATTTGGCAAGTCAAAATACAGCCTAGTGGATTCATTTAAGTTCAAAAGAATGTGGACTCAGTCTCTGTTAGTCTGTTTGTACATGGCCCCATGCATGACATTCTAATTAACTCTCATCCTTTAATTTACAGGACTGTTACACTGGAAAAGAAACAAGTGGGGGAAAAACACTTAAAACTGTTAAAAAGTAAGAATGGATTCCATGTTATTTGGGTCCTTAGAACAAACATCTAGATATTCTAGTGATCTAAATGGCATGGATTGTATATAAAAAGTTAAGGAAGATCATAAATGCTCGTGGGAACATAATTTCAATTTCTCTAAAGCTAGATATACGTTTTTTACTTTCTGAAATTGGCATACAAGGACATTGAGAAGAGCTGGAGAAGGAAAGAGGGGAAGAGCATGTACTGAAGAAAAAGAAGTGGAATGGAAGAGCTTGAAGAAATGGCAACTTTTTTTTTTCTTCTGGTTTAAGAAAGAAGAAAGGAAGGAGAAGGCCTGGGCTGCAGTGTTCATAATTACAGTATGAGTAAAAAAAAAATATGATCAGCAGCTATGCTTGCTTCTGTATGTGGGCCACGTTGCCAAACTTAGCAGGGCATTAATTTATGTTATACTAGGGTGGTCATGCTTCAGGCAGGCTCTGAGTTCAGGTCTCCAGGATGGGGAAGCAAAAAGGATGTTCTACCATTGTTCTGCGGTGACTTCATACCTAGAATATAAGCCACAAGGAATCTGACCCGTGCTTTCTCTCTTCTTGGCTAATGAGGAGGGGTGGATATATACAAGCTCGGATTTTACGGATGATCCGAGGTCTGCGGGGTCAAGTGCCATATGCATAGCACAGCTTCTCCCACTGCAGCATTTCCATACAGTCCTTGACACCTTGACTCATTCTGTGCCTTAGCCAAGGCGGGCAGCGATGGATTTCCCGGCGCGGTGAAGAGCGGTGTCTGACAAGCCCCTGCGGCCGGGGGATGCTGCCGGTACCCTCTCGACTGCCTGCCCTGCGCCCCGGCGCTGCCAAGGCAGTGACGGAGCCGCCAGCCGGGCTTGGGGGTGTGTAACCTGCAGCCGTCCCTGACGTCCCGGCAGCGCCGCAGGAAGCTGGGATTCCTCAGGGCCCATCCTTTCCTCGTTAAAAACACCCTAACTCTTAAAAATAAAGTAAATTTTTAAAAAAAGTGGAGGGTAGTGGGATGGGAACGGGGGGAGGCCGGCGGCGCTCTCCGTGCGCCGAGAGCGGCGGCAGCGGGCGGCGCGGCCGGGCAGGCGCGGTGCTGCCCCGGGCGAGGCGGCGGCGGCAGCGGCGGCGGCGGGAGGAGGAGGAGGAGGAGGAGGAGGAGGAGGCAGTCGGTCGGTCCAGCCGCTCCAGGGAAGTTTCCTCGCCGCCGCCTCCCCGAAACCCCTCCCCGTCCAGCGCGGCTCCGCGCTCCTCGCAACTTACCGCCGGGCGCCGCTCCTGGGGAGCCGCCGGGCCCGCAACGCCGCCCCGGAGGCCCCGCGGAGTAAGTGCCGCGCCGAGCCGAGGCGTGATGTGCTGAGCTGTGCCGAGCCGAGCCGAGCCGAGCCGAGCCGAGCCGAGCCGAGCCGAGCCGGTGCCGCACACGTGGGTGCGGCGGGGCCGGCGGGAGGCGCCGGCTCGGCCCCATCGCCGCGGGCGGGTGCGCGGGTGCGCAGCGGGGCTGGCGGCCGGCAGGGAGGGAGGGAGGGAGGGGCGAGGCCGCGGGAGCCCCGGCGTGGGAGGGGAAGGGGCGGCAGATCGCGGCTGGAGCGGCGCCGCGGGAGCCTGCGGTGCCGGCCGGCGGGCGCTGCGGCGCGCCGGCAGCGCTGAGTGCGTGTGTTTGCTGTCAGAGGTTAAAAATCTGTGGTCACCTGGCTGCGGTGCGAGCGCGTCCGCCGTCACCCTGTTTCCCGCGGATGCCCGGCTGTGGGCATGGCAAGTGTCAGGGGAGGTGTCCGAGCCCCCGACAAGGAGCGGGCAGCTCCTTCTCTGACGGACGGGGAAAGGCGGCTGATGCCGGGACACCGACGGCGCTCCCACCGACCGCGAGCGCCCGGTGTCCCGGTATCCTGCTGGGGCGGCCGCCTGCCTGCCGGGAGTCCGCTGGCTGGCTGCCTCCAGCAGGTCGGGGGAAGGCAGGAGGGAAGAACGGATGCCCTCCTGTCCTCTTCCATCTCCGCTCCCGCATTCCAGCATCTTGGGAGAAGAGTGCTGAGCATCGGCGGCAGGGAAGGGCTGCACCCACAGGTGTACTCTTCCTCAGCTAACTTTCTCATTTCTCCCGCCGTCACCTAAGCCCTTCGAAAAGATGGATGGATATGACTAGTTCTGAGATGGTTTTAGTCTGTGTTGTTCGTCTTGGAATTAAAGCTTTTTGTCGTTGTTGTTCCCTGGAAATACTCTGTTCTTTAATTAAATAGGCAGTTTTTCTATCACAAAGTCAAAGGTCAGAGTTTTCTTAAATTATTGAAATATAACATCAGGCTTCCCCTCCCCCCTCCCCCCTCTTTTCTTTATCTTTTAGGCTCCTAGGACCATAGTGTTGTGTTTGAATTACAAAGAGTAATTCCCACTGACTTTTAGTATCAAAACACTGTAATGGCTACATATGGTCTAGCACAATGCAGTATGAACAGTAGCACCAGACAGTTGCTATGTTTGAAAACTCACACTTTCCATAGTCTTTAAAATAAAAATGTGGTTATAAGAAGAGAAAATGGTCATTCAGTGCTGTAAGAAGTTCTTTAAAAAGAGTGGTGTGTGGAAAGTCCCTATGAAACAATTTCCAGATTAGAGCTGTTCATTCTTTGCCAAAAGCTGTGTAAGCATGAACCATAATGAGGGTAGTTGTAGGATCACAGAGTAGTCATGGAGCAGGTAGTCCAGCTGCATCAGAAAGTAAGAGACGGAAGGGCAATATGTATGGAAATGTCCCCAGTTGAAGACTGCAGCTCATGGAGGTAGCTGGCATGTCTTCTGAAGGGTAGTCTGGATACATTTCTTCCAAACCTTTGTTCTACCTTGCATACACCTTATTTTACCATAGATTTCAGTGTAAGGTAAAATGTAAGTATATGTGTCCTTCAACAACTTTTTAAAATGTATGGTCTACTCTTTCTGAATGGTTCACCAGTCTTCAGAATTGTAGAAATTGGAATAGTATCAATAAAAATGTTTATAACCAATTTAAATAGAAACAAAGTCACTGGTTCCTAATGGTTTTGTTATTTATTCCAGGCCTGGTGTTTCATTCCTAATTTTCTTCATTAGGTGCATCTTCCCATGTAAACTGAATCATAAAAAGCATAGGGAGAAAAAGGAGGAAGTAAGTCACTCTTTTGTGTGTTTATGGCTCTGTCCTCCGGGTGCTGCAAAATCTGTCACTATGGGTAAGGTGAGGGATACGCTCTGATAGAAGAATTGTAAATTTTTCAAAGGTCATTTGAACAGTTTCTACAAGTCAGCTGGAAACTGGGGCCTCTTGCGTCTTGTGTATTTTGAGAATTTTAGGTTATTTTCTTTGTTTCTTTCACTCAATTACTTAATTATAGAATCTAAAAATATTATTGCTCAAAATAACTTTTCCCTCTAGACTTAGAGAGAGGAAGACTGATACAAAATTAAGAGTTTAAATTGAGTTAAGAGGCTTGAGGTTTTTTCTTTCCTCTCATTTTTACTCTTTTTATCTTTGACTGTTTAATCTGATATACCAAACATCATAAGATAATGATTTCTCAGACGTCTGGACACTCTTAATGCTAATCCCACTGCATGGCCATGGGAAGTAAAATATGAGTTTACCATTGAATTCTGTGATATGGGTCAAGCTACCAAAGAAAAGGCTTTAGTGGTTGGACCAAGAAAGATTTGCCCAGGTTAGATGGTGGGATGGTGAGCTGTGGCTGCCTGGGTTGTACACCTGCAGGGGCAAATTCCTGGGGGAGCCTGAGGGCAGCTGCTGCCCATACCCAGGGCAAGCCCTGGATGTGTGGGCAGCGCCGACAGTGAGTGCTGCAGTCTGCCCAGGGCCCCCCCTCTGCTGGACTGCCTGGAAAAATCACAGAGGTGAACTCCCAACCTCTGAGGTGGGTCTGCATTTTTGCAGCTCCCCTTATAATGAAGTGAGCTAGGAGAAAGCTCTTTTTATTTATAAGAACGGAAATTGTGTGTAAAGTCCTTAAAATCAAGGAGGCCACAGCTGGGTACTTCATGTGCTTTTAAAAGCTTTTCCAACATAAAGTTGTTTCTCTGTCCTTCCCATGCTGTTTCCATAGCGAGTCACACCTACTGCCACTTTCGGCAACTGGCCTAATTCCTGAAATTTCTGAACTTTAATTTCTCAGTTCAATAGCTTGAGCTCTTTATCATCTGAATATTGGAGGGAATTGCATGGTGTTGTGTGAATAAAATTTTCTTCGTCTTTTAGGTTATACTGTTTGCAAAGGAAAGGGAGACATTACGTTCAAGAATGTTGATGTAGTTCATTCTTCACTTTCTTCTTTATTATGAAATAATATTTATAATAGCCATGACATTATTTGATAAATGAAACATTACTTTTTAATAACAGTTGTAAAAATCGTGTTCTATGGATAACAACCATTATCTGTTATGTTTTTCACACTTAATATATTACTGAAGTCAGTAATATATAACAATAAAGTTCTATTTTGAGCTGTGATGGTGAAAATATTACAAGACTATTAAGATAAGCAAACTTGTAAGAAGTGTGGCTGCTGCTAGAGAACAGACTGATTTAATGAATTAACTTCAATGGTGCTGTGCTCTTGTGTGTTTTGCTTTTTCATAATTGTATGTAAAATTCATTTTCTTTGATAGATGCAGTTTGGAGAATGCAGAACTGAAACTATATACTGCTGTTTGACTAAACTCCGTGCATTTTTTGCTGACAAAAAACACATAATGCATCTTTGTGTAGTTGTGTAAGCAGAACCTATTTATCTAGGTTCCAAATCCTTAAGTTTTCAGTTTTTATTATGTTAAAAATAATGAGTTACTGAGTTCATTTTCATGAACACACAGTCTAGAAGAAATCAGAGGAAAAGCATGTAATCTGTCAAGCAAAAGGTATGACACAGTTGAACAAAACAGTATTTAAAAATGTTTTTTAGCATTATTTTCCAGGGAACTGGGAGTCTTAAAAATGTTCTTACAATAATTTCCTTCTCTTCCCCTGTAATATTCCAATTCCAATTGCCAAAATTTGGCAACAATTATTGGGGATTTAGTTTCATAAGGAGTGACTGTTGGGTAGAGAAGAGAGAGAGGTCCCAACCAGTACCTCCTCCCTTGACCCACTCAGAGCAGGGATGGCCCCAAAGGGAGCTGGGCAGCACCTTCCCTGGAATTACCCCCTGAGAGGCAGCAGCTTGAGGATATAGCACAGAAATGTGAAGGAAAGCTGGCATCATTATTATGTAAATACAGTATCGATTCTGCTTCAAAATTAACTTTCAGTTAGTGAATTGAGGGTATTTCTGGTCACCATGGGTCAGGCTTCACATGGTATTTATGACTAAAGGTGCAGCTCAGTGTTTACTGTAATTCATAAGGGTTATTGCAGTATAAACAGGCAAACAAATAAATGTAAATGCTTAAGCTGATAGGGTGCCTTTAAACATCCCATTGGATCTCACACTGACAGATTTTCAGTCATACAGCCTTCTAGTTTTCTCAGTCTTAGGATCGTTCATGCTCTATCATTTGGACTTAACAGAGAATGGATGAGATTCCATTCTCACAGATGAGTCCAAATGAAGAAAATAGACTACTTGCACCTACTGGTGAAATTCACACCTATTTCATTCATTACTACATGATGAAAAGCAGAAATATTTTTAGGTATTGTTTTGTTGTAAAGATTGAAAATAAGATGCATCTTGTGGTATGTAAATGTTGGGATTTACCAGTGAAAATTTTGGTTGACCTTGAGAGATAGGGATGTTTTCTTATTGTGTGATAGTTAAAGTTAAAGAAGAGAGCAGCATACTTAACCCCCCTCAGTAAGGGGGGTGACGTGAGGAAGGTCGCTGCTAGGCACATTCAGCTGATGGTGAATCTGTTGTGAAATCTGGAAGTGGCACTCGCACAGAGACACTGGAGACATGGCTCTATGCCACACAAGGGCATCTGCACTGCTCTCAAGGGCAGGGTGAGTTCAGAGGCAATTTAGTGGTTCTCACAGAGTGTGGGGCTTCAACTGACCCTAACCCTGCATGGGGGTCCCCTGCACTGGGGGATGCCAAAACTTAGTCCTGTACATATCCCAGTTGAGCATTAGGTTTCCATAGCCAGGATGACTCACTTGCAACCATGCTTTCTGTGACCAATCCTATTTGAGTGTATTTTTCTGCTCTCCAGGATGCTGTGGCGTCCACAGCTGAAAATGCTGCTGGTGCTGTTTCTTACCTGAATGCTTTTGCTGGCTTGGGGGAAGCCTAGGCTTTAATGAAGGTTGTTACAATTTCAGATTCAAATGTATCT